CAACCAGCACTGGTCCAGCCTGTATCTTGCTGTTATGAGAAGGGGAGGAAGAGAGAAAGAAAAAGAGAGGAGAGAAAACCCAAAATAAACACACTCTTCCCAGCAGCTGTCAAGAGATCGCAGTAAGTGCCCTTCACTTGGCTTCTTTGCTTTGACTGCGTACTGCGTAGTGTGCATGCTGTAGAATAAATAAGAGGCATCCTTACTGGCTGCTTTGTTGTGATGGATGACATCATTACCTGTTAATTTAAATATGAGATCCTGCAGGTGCTGGTGTGTGATGCTAGTTAAACAGGGCTGCAAATATAGTCGATTGTCAAAGAGACATTTGGATCCCCTGCTGGAATATTATGGGTGGATCCCTGCAACTGCGTTTTTATAACCTGGGATGAAGTCTCAGTGGGACGTGTGCTTCCCATTAGCTTTTTTAAAACGGCCAGCACGGTTTCTTCGGTTGTGATGGAGGGACTGGGCCTTTTGTGCTCTGTTTAATTAGCAAACCTACTGTGCCAAATACAAGCTAAATTCTGGGTCACCCTGTTCTGCTGTAGAGAATCCATATGTGGAACGTCCTTGTGGTGCTGGATGCAGGAGGATACAGTGTTGTTATATTGCAGAGAGATCTGAATGTAGTCATCATTTGATGCATGAAGTATCAGCAGACTGTAGGAGAATCTGATTATTTGAAAGAATAAAACATAGGATATTATATTGCATTTAGATACACAGGATACAGTGTAGGTACATAATCTAATAAAAACAGAAGGTATAATACAACAAATTAATGTTTGTGTGATCAATGCATAATTCAATTAATTTTGCAAATCATTGTAAATCATATGCGTTTGATCTTACTGGATGTCATTTTACAAAAACTAACATACTGAGAATATATATATATTTTTTTTAAATATAATTTCTGCTGACTCTTGCTAGAGCTGAAAATAACTTCTATGAATACAAACTCGAGGTCAAAGCATGGAAATTACATTTTAAATGACTAATTAAAAATGTAATCGTTTGTGGTTCTGCTTTTAAATTTATGTTGATTCATTTATATTATTTTTAATAATTTGTATTTATTTACCAGTGACTTTACAACAACAAAGTATTGGAAATCATTTAATTATTTTAAATGTACTTAATATATCATTCAAAAAATTATTAATTTAAGAATGTTAATATCAAAATATCTTTGTTTTGTTAATAAAGAATGCAGACATTTTTGCATAAAATAATGTCAAACAGTCTATACAATTTATACAATAATACAGTTTTTTCTTTCTATGACATGGACATGTTCTTGACAGGTTTTGTGAGATTCACCCATATATAACTCTTCAATCTTCAAATATCACATATGAAAGATCAAAACACAAGGTCAAAGCACAAACATGCAATGTTACAGATTTATATGGAGAGGGGTTCATATGCATGTATTCTGGCATTGCATGTATTCATATGCATTCTGATGTCAGTCATTTCACATACACAAAGCAAAGTTTGTCATATTTTAATAATTCACTACATTGAAAGGAGTTATTGTTGTCTCCTAAGATGGTATCAGATGTCAGGTTGTGTCTTGATACTACTTGATGCAGGCCTGTGATTTCAAATGCTATTTTATCATTGTATGTAATGGGATATGATTGATAACAGTAACCAGTAATGTTTGATTTACTGTTCTGTTGACTTTTGATTTGAAGTGTTTTGTTATGTACTCCTCAATAAATCACATAAAAGAGTAAGCTTTATATCTGTTGCATCTGTAAATCTTGTAGCAGCTGTTGGTCCATCTTTTCATCTTTAAAGAAAGAGCCTTTGTTTTGGGATATGTTGTGCTTCTTTGTTTTACAGGAACACAGGCATTTATTTTACTCTGAACTGTAGATTAAGTCATTTCTTTGTGGAATGCCTTGTTTAGATTCTCCTCCATGAATTATTTTCTTTGTGCAGTAACACCAAACAGATGTAGACCGTCACCGAGTCATCAGATGAATTATGTGTTTAGTCTCAGAAGTCTAGCCTTTAACTTGCTCGTACTTAATTTAGATTTTAGGTCGAAAGCTCTCAAATTATCCATCTACAAGCAATAATGACCTAATTACTAGTACTCATTCTTAGGGTTTGGGATTTGAGCAAACCACTAACCTCATTTATTCAATTTTGGAACTTAACTCTTCCCAGCAATTGTTTGTGCTGTAGATATGAATTTCTAGGTGAAAACTTGCAAAATCTAATAGACTTACACTGATTAGATCAGAGACCTATATTTGTTTCGACTTGGGGCAGTAAGTAAGCAGTCCCCCAAAACACCCACACCATCATAGCAACCTATTTTTGTACAGACAAGCATCGTTCTAGATGATAAAGATTTAGATCTAAATAAAATCTATTTAAATCTGACTTTCTAAAACCTGTAGTGCAATGCATTTTAGAGCAGAACCACAGGGCTGTGCTAGGGATTCTAGAGAATACTGCTTTCTTTTTAAATGACTTCACTACCAAAGAATGTTCTTTTCACATTAAGCTGTGAAATCCGCTATCTGGCCAGGATCTGGGAGTGCTCCTTAAATCAATCTAGAAAAGGAGAAATGCTTAAATTTAGTTAGGACAATATAAGTGTGATTGTAAATCTATTAATGTGGAGATAGAAACTATGTGTATATGCAGCTAAATTTGAAGATGTGGGGCATTTGTAAACAGGGCTAATAGCTTATGGAGATGTTAAATGTACTGTATGTACATTTGTATGGGGTTGAATTTTCAGCAGTCATTAATTCAGTCTTCAGTGTCACATGATCATTCAAAAATCATTCTAATATGCTGATTTGATTTATTGTTATTATAAAATTTATTTTAAGTAGAAACCTTTTGTAACATTATAAATGTCTTTGATTACTTTTTGATCAATTTAATGAGTCCTTGATGTATATTAATTTCTAATAAAAAAAATCTTACTGAACGGTAGTGTGTATATGTATCTATAAATGATTGAATGAATACCAATTTTTATATAGACTCCCTTGACGTTTTACTTGTTCTATTGCATTTATTCATTCTTTAAAAGTTGTTATCTTCACTTATGGAGTGTAGAATGATTATGAGAACTGCTTGTGTTGATGGATGTCAGATTTAGTATGGCACAGAGGCAGATAAAGCTGCGGTTGATGTTCTTGCTCAACATAGAGAGATAAACTAAAACATCTGCCCTGGAATCTATGCACTTAAAGAAAGAAGATCACAATAAGGCGCATAACCTTGGGGACATATACATGCTGCGTTACAGATCAGTATGTTACTGATTTTCATAGCATAGTAACCTATATGAATCCTATATACTCTGCATCTTTCAAGGCATTATGGCTGAAGGAGTAAAATAGAAATTATTTAAAAAAGTTACACCCTTCACCTTAAGGCTCTGTGTCACAGAGCAACCCCATGCAATCAATGCACTTTTTTAAGTGGGTGTTCAGTGAGTGTTGGTGTGTAGCTGATAGAATTATAAAAACTCAACACTCAAAGAGAGGAACAGTTTTCCATTTAAAGCTACACAATCACATACTCAGAAACACCTCAAACAGTTGTACATCAACAGATAAGTGGGTATATTTATAATGCTATCTTTGTATTTGTCCTTCGAGTCATGTTCAAGAGCATTCTCCCTCACCTTATTAGGAGGCATATTACATAAAAGTTTTGTTTTCAGTTTTAGATGGCTTCTTTCGGAGCAAAATATGTTTGTAGTTCACAACATTTGTTTTCGTCAGTTGCTTCCTGTGAGCTATGATTTCCCAACAGTCTTTTCTATTATCTTACATTTTTTTGGTTTCGTGAAAGAAAAACAAGTCCTACTGCAGTGTGTTTATTTTTTGTGAGTTCCAGATCTTTGCTTGAAGTCTGTCAATACAACGAATCCAACTTGCTTTAAGTCTGTCAGAAAAATAAATACTTTTATAAGAACTTTTATAAGATGTCCTCGCCTTTTCTGGGCCTGTATTTGGTTTAGAAAACCATAGAGAATGATCAAGGAACCAAGACATTTTCATTTTCCCAGACTGGTTTGGATGAAGGGACACTGGATTTTCTCAACCAGTTGGCATTTATAACTCCATAAGACTGGGCAGAATCACAGAGGTCATAGTGGTTGAGTATACCCTAACCACTGCTTTTTAAATTCCCACAGACAACACGGGCTGCTCCTTGTCCAGACAGAGCACGCTTTGCTGAATGACACATTATACTGTTGCAGTAGGGTATCTATTCATATATCAATGATTTAGATAACATTTTATTCCTAAAAACACGGTGAAAGACTTTTTTTTCTGGCTGTTGACAGATTTATGAAGTGATAAAATAAGATATTAAAAATGCCCTCTGTAAAACCTTTAACTCTAATATGTCAACATAATGAAACAAGAATTTTGAGCTTGTTTCTATCCATTGATCAAATTTATTTTCTGGAAATGCATGCAAATTAGTGCACTTAATTCAATATTTTACACATTTAAACATGCTATTTCAGAACACTTGAAATACAAAACAATTGCCGTAATGTAGCTACTGTGAATTAGTCAACTAGGGAAGTATGGTGATAGTTAAATTTGCCTGTGGTGGAAAAAATTTAATAAATAAAAAAAGGTTGAAAACTTAAATAAAAACTAGCTAACTATCTAAATAAATAAATATGAACCAATTTAAAAAATATATATTTTTTCTAATAAAAAGCCACTTTTTTCAAATGATCCTTTATTTCAGGTATTTGTCACTGACCCTAAAACAAACCACAGAAATTAAGAGAGAAGCAGATCTTCAAACACTACTAAACAGATTACAAACATTTGGAGTCTCAAATCAGTTTTAAACCTGTGAACGACATTGCCTGGTGACGTCATGTGAGAAAGCCAATCAGATTAAACTGTGGTAATGTACCGCCCATTGCTGCCAAAAGTAGGGGGTGTGAAGCCAAGTACTGTTCTTTCTTAACCGCCCTGCTCTTTCAGTAAAATGCAGAGGAATAAATTCAACATAAACGGAAAGTTTTACTTTATTGCCTTGTGGACTATTCTCATCTGATACGTGACTGTTTACTCGTAAGAGAAATATTAACGTTGGATTGTTTTCCTCCCCCTCTGCTGCTCCATAGTGTGGGATCCTCCGTCCTTCTCGCGTTAGCGCCTTTCTGCTGCTGCAGTATGAACGGACACTCAGGCGGACTGATCTAGTACACGCGTATTTCGGTTAAAATGTTTTCCGCTGGTTTGGGATTTTGGGAACGACTTCAAGACGGACACGTGGAATAATAAATAATGTAATTGATTTAAAATTAGTTCCGGGAAAGTGAAGAAGCAAAGCGTGTCCTAGTTTATTATAGGATCCATGAAATAAAGGTAAGCACCTACTGAGGTGATAGTTGTTCATAAACGGATACGTTAGTATGCTGACTGACTGGTGGTGTGAAGTCCGACTCAGCGAACCGGTTCTTTTGAACAGTTCGTTTTAAAGAACGGGGTCAAAAACCGATTCATTGGTTTTCACGTCATAATGCTTTAAAACGTTCCATATATTGCTGTCGATTAAGTTTGATTAATAAGTGTGTTTATTGTAATCATGTGTCCCAGTTCAGCCATGATTCAGCTCATAATAACAAAGTGATTTAGAACCTAAACATATAAACTAAACACATTTTGCACTTGCATTAAACTAAATTCATATTAATCTATGGCAAATAAAAATAAGGTTTTTGCACGTTTTAATTAACGTTTGTTCACTAAAAGCAACTGTTTCTTATATATGAGGACAAAACTGTTAAACATGTTCCCAGAACGTTTTATTAACGTTTCTGCGATTCCGCTGTTAAAGTAATTTCATCCCATCTGTCAAATCCTCGGTTCACCCCACATGCTCATAGTATCAGACCAGTCATCTGTTGTCGGTTCATTACGTATCGGGCATGTTTGAAATTAACTATTCTCGGTTCATTGAGTTGTTGATTGGTCCAATTCAGTCCGATTCGTGATCGTTCAGACCGGTTTTGTATAGAGGTTCTACAGATTCATTTAAGATCCGGCCCAAAAGAACTGACAAACTTCGCTATCGCTCACAAACAGATCGCAAACATCGAGTAACGTTACGATACTTATGCTCTGTCAAACTCTTTTACGGAGATAAATAGTTAAATCTTCTGACACACTGACCAACATTACGATGGAAAAACCTGTCGTGATTTATTAAGTTTCAACGGCTGATAAACGTTTGGTTTTATAACGAGATTTGAAATGACTCGCGTACACATTCCTGCGAACCTAGACACCTGTTTGTTTACATTTGATGATAACATTCATATTAAAGTAATTCACCCATAAATAAAAATGCCATCTTAATTTACTCGTCCTCATGTTGTTGCAAATATATATTACTTTATTTCTCCTGTGGAACACAAAAAATGTACGCTGTATGACAGCCCGAGTCTTTTCCATACAGTGAAAATGAACGTAATTTTGTCATTATGTCTGACATATCTTGTTAACAGAAGAATGTATGGCTTGAATCAACATGATGCGAGTGAGTAAATGGGGGATTTTCATTTTGCTGTGAATTATTTCTTTAATAAGTAATTAGTCAGCTGTTTGTGTACACTGACACGCGGAACTATTTCAGTGCACATTAACTCATCTGTAGAACATTTGTTAGTGTTACCAAATAATATAAAAACAACAAATGGTGGTTTATTGCTTGTGTAAGTTGGACATATTTCTCCCTACCAGAGAGATTTACTTTGCTGTGAATTATTTCTTTAATAAGTAATTAGTCAGCTGTTTGTGTACATTGACACGAGGAACTATTTCAGTGCACATTAACTCATCTGTAGAACATTTGTTAGTGTTACCAAATAATATAAAAACAACAAACGATGGTTTACTGCTTGTGCAATTTGAAATATGATATTTAGTGAATTATATGTTTATTTAGATTCCTCTGGTCCTTTAGGCAGAAATATGTGTTATGTATGTCCTTAATGAACTAACCCGTTAGTGAAGGTTACTGTTGCATCATCGCCTGTGTTTCTGATAATCTCATCATGCTGTGATGTTTGCCCATGACTAATCATAAAATAATGTAAAACTGTAAGTCTGACATCTGTCTGACCCCTATTTCCATATAAGACCTTTTTCCCATACCACGAAGACCCTCTATGTAGTAAAAATGTTTTTTATTGTTTTGATCTTTGATGTTTAACACCGACTCATTGCAGGCATGCTGTTTACGTGCAATTAGTAAAGAAGTTAGTTCTTTTGACTGATTTACTATTTCAATATGGATTGTCTTATGGTAACATTATAATGGCTTATTGTTATTGAGAAGATCATAATGTTGCAGATATTATCCTGAAGGATGCTTTTTGTGCCATAAACTGTCCTTGTGTCTTTGTTCCTGTCAGGTCAGTGAAAAACCAGAGCGAGGAAGACTCTTTTTGCTGACTCAGTTTAAGCCAGTTGATTATTTTGGCATTTACGCCAGGCTTAGATTAGATTAGATATTTGACTTTCTAACAACAGCTATCAATGGGGGAGAGAAAGGTGGCTTGTTTTTTTGACCTGGGAGCCAGATATGGAAAGACTGTGGGGTAGATCTACTCAACTGTGACCGGTTAAACGAAAGTTAAGGGACATTTACCAGTAAGAAGACCCAATAGTTTTCCATTTTGGAGGTCCAGCGTGACTTATTTAAAACGGAGTTCTCCTTTGCAAGCTGGCAGACAGTGAAAGATCAGTTGGCCTTAAAAGGAGATGTCTGCAACTTTTGGCTATATTGTTTAGGCAGCGGCACTGCAGGGATTTATTGCCAACATTTTTGATTTTCAAATTGTGCACCGGCTTTGCCAGAGGTTGTAACGGAAATGTCACGGAAGTGGAATTAAAGTGATCGGTTTACTCCAGGGAAAGCACACATACTTGTGAATGTAGAGACGGAGCAAGTAAGTCCTGTTTATGTCTGTTCATGTCTTATATTTGAATGTTTTCTATTCAATTGAATTGTCTTTAATACATTTAGAAAGTGGTTTTATGTGTTTAATTTATGAAGATGATTAAGAAAGATTTTACTTCTCAATTATGAAATAAAAAAAAAAAAAAAATATATATATATATTTATTATTGATAGATAGATAGAAACTGCTAGTCAGGTGAAAAATGTTTTACAATTTGACAGCTATAAAAATAATCTGAATCATTTTGGTGCTAAAAAAGCAACATTGTTTGCTCTTGATGTACAGTGTGCTTAATTATATATATTTTTTTTTCCTTAAATATTACCAATTTTTAAAAAAGTTGTGAACTTGGTATGGTTATATACAGAATTTGGGAAGTAGAGTAATTGCTACACTGATCAGGCATATTTTCTTCTATTTCTTTCTTGTTAACTTAATTTCATCTATGTGCTATCAGAGATAGCTTAAGCCTTAGTGCAACTCTTATCGTTTTTTATGGATGCAAACGATGTGTTCATGCTTTTTTTAAACTCATCATGTAAATCTGGATCACGTAGCACATGGCCTAATGTATTGTTATACATTTTATATGCATATGGGTGTGGGAAGATGGAAGTGGTTGTCTTCAGATTGGCAGGGGACTCTTGGACCTCTAATGGAGAGAACAGCCTCTGCAGCAGCTTATTTAATTAAACTTGTTTTAAATCAGGAGAACTGTGGAAGCACTTCCCCTAGCTCACTGCTCAACACTGCGTCTGTTGACTTTTGAACATCGCTGGAATCTAATGAGTCATGTAAGGTGCCAGAGACGTTAGTCTGGCATGTTTTCCTGTGACTGTTTGAGATCAGTTTGAAAATGTTTGCCTGTATACTGTTGGAATCATGGGAAACATGGAAGCTTTTTTGCTTTATGACATAATGCTCGTGTTATGAGCAAAAGCCTTTGAGAAATAGATAATAAAAAAAGTGAAGTAGTTCCTACTGAAATGTCAGATTTCTTTGAAAAGGATGTTTGTTCAGGAATGAGGAATGTGTGGTTGTGTTTTTCAAAAGAACTCTGAACCAATGGTAATCAGTGTCACCGAAGTCTTTTTTGCTTTTAAGGAACCTGTCATTTTTCCTTAGCTTTTTTAATGTTAAAATCCAGACCAGCTCTACATAGCAATTATTCTCAGTGGCTTGGTTTTGACTAAACTGTCTGTCCAATCAATGGCAGTGTTTGGGAAACCTGTTTGGAAAGAATTCTTATTTATGCAGTTCTGTTTAGTGCAGCTTGTGGTGCAAAAATTGCACACTGCTACTTTAACCTTGACTCTTTTTATCTGTGCAAGCGTGTCTTCAATGACATCATCCAATTAGGCTGTACTGCATTAAGCTCAGGCGAAGTGTGTCGGATGATACTGCTGAATAGCATGTGATCATTCCCTAAAAGCTTTTGCAAAAACACTTTTCCTCAATCCGCAGAACTCTCTGACCTGTATAAAAAACAATGAGATCAGGGGTTTGAGACTAGATTGGACATCTGATGCTGTTATCATAAGTTTGGGAAAGATGATGTAATGCATGCATGCACACACAACCCTCTACATTGCGAGTAAATCACTCGCATATGCGACTAAATCTTCACTCTGGGCGACTAAATGATGTCTAATATTAGCCAATTGCTAATAAATTCTCAGATTTTACTCGCCAGTGTGCGAGTTGGAGGCTAAGTATAAGTTTAGCTCAGATATATTTTCACTCGCCGAACACTCTCTGACTGAGCGCATCAGAGTTTCACTCTCCGTCAAGCGATCTGTGCTGTTTTTCAGTTCATCTGAATGGATGTGCAACACACCTGTATTTAACGTACCGTGAACTCTAGTGTATCGGCGGATGACTCACCGTCGCTTTGTTTCACACACAGGCAGCAAGAGAGAGAATTGACTTTCAGATATTTATAAAACTGTGCCATTTTACAAACAAATACATACATATATATATATATATATATTAGTCTGGCGAGTAAACTAACAAATTTACTAGCCAATGGCGATTCAATTGCCAAGGTGTTCGTAGAGGGCTGACACACAGCATATTCCAGACAGGACATTAGCTGTTCTTTAGCTTCATGCTGCTCATTGTCTATACACTGTATTAGGTCTCATGTGGTTCCCAAATGCTAACATTAGAATAAATTTCATTGTTTACCACCTCAGCGTCCAATTTTTGTCAATTTTGGACTTGTCCCAATGTCCTTTTGCTGCCTTATAGTTCCCTAACTAGCTTGCCGTTTGTCTTTTAAAAGGATAGTTCTTACTCGAATTCATGTCATTCAAAACCCATATGACATTTACTTTCATGGAACCTATAAAGTTATCTGTATCCAACTTGCTCTTTTCTGTATAAGCCTGTTTCCACCATGGAATAAAAAATAAAGGTACCGGCAACTTTTATCTTAAAATTCTGACTTTTTTTCTTGCAATTTCCTTGCAAGAAAAAGGTCAGAATTATGAAATATAAACTTGCCATTGTGAGGAAAAATTTTTTAGAATTGTGATTTGTGAGAGAAAATGTTGCAGTTGCCTTTTTATTTTTAATTCCATGGCAGAAACAAAAACCATAATTGCGAGATGTAAACTCAACTCAGAATTCTGAGAAAAAGTCAAAATTGCGAGATGTAAACTCTCAAGTATGAATTTATAACTTGCAATTGCAAGATATAAACTAGAGAAAAAAAAAATCTGAATTGTGAGATAAACTCACAATTGCCAGGAAGATTATATATATATATAGGCATGGCACGATAACCGGTTTCAAGGTATACCACGGTTTCAAAACCACTAAAATTTTCCTTTATACAGTTTTTTTACGTGTCGTCAAAGACGGAAAGTGCAGGACACCCACAGTTGTGTGCAGTGAAGAGAGTAACGAGTCACACGACCCCTCCCCCTCCGATTGGTGAGAGTGGTCAGAGTCACCTGTGTGTAGAATGGCTGAAGGAGATGAATCCCTGGAACTTTTTCCCCCGTCGAAAAAGACGAAGTCTGTCGTATGGGAATTTTTCGGGTAACGTAGACTAACCATGTTCTGTACACAACGATGTTCCGTACAGATGATGTTTTAGCACCGATCGCTAAATAAATACTTCCAGGTCAAACATAAACTATATATCTTAAGCCTCCTGCCATTGTTTACATCTGTTCAAAATCACAACATTTAAAAAAACAAACTTTTGCCACTGTTTGAGTGTTGTACGGAGAGACCGTGTGTGTGTGTGTGTGTGACACTCGCGCTCTCTCTTTCCTTATGTGTGTATGTGCACACATCTTCGTACCTCCACTCCAAACTTAATCCAGGAAAGGTGAACATTCCTGATTATAACTTGGACTGAAAGATGAATGTGTAGAAAGCGAGCATGTCTCAAAAAACCTTGTTGAGCTGCAGGTTTAATGACTGCATTTTTTTTTTATTATTTTTTTTTTTTACAGAAATTATGTTTTGATTATATTTTTGATTATTGAGCTGCAGGTTTAGGCTCACTTAAGTGACTGCATTTTTTTCATTTATAGGGATTTTTTAATTTTTTTTTACAGAAAATAATTTATTTATGTTCTGATTATTGTTGAGCTGCAGGTTTAGGCTCACTTAAGTGACTGCATTTAATTAAGAAGAATTTAATTATTTATTCTAATTATTTAGCCTGACATGTTTACTGTTCCAAAATGTTCTATATGTTTCTTAAAAATAAAATGTGTTCAGTGGAAAAAAAAGTTGTGTTTTTTTACCCAGACATTTAAAAATAACGTATTTTAGAGCTGTAATCGCAATACCGGGATACCGTGAAACCGTGATATTTTTTATATATATATAAGGTTATCATACTGTGAGAATCTCATACCGGCCCGTGCCTAATATATATATATATATATATAATATTATCCCATGGCAAACAAAAGCTTCTATACTTTTCTGTTTTGCAAAAAAAAAAAAAGAAAGAAGATCAAATGACATTAGGGTAAGAAAACAATGACAAAAGTTTAATTTTTGGATGAACTAACCTCTTAAAGTTGGTTAGTTTTTAAAGACTGTTTTTAAAGTTCCCTGTGACCCTGTTTTGACCTTATCTCAAAAACAGAGAAGAAAAACTTTCCCTGACAGTGTCACGACTGATCGGTCAGTCTATTCCCCAGCATGCCTGCATGTTTCACTCTCAGATAAGATGTTACAGTGCCAGGGTGCTGCCACGCTCTGCCCACATTCACTTCTTAGCAACTGGCAGAGGATTCTTCCTTCCTCTCTCTGCCGCCTCCTCATCTACACCTCCTAAGCGACCGTCTCCACACATGCTGTTTATTTGGAAGAATCCAGAGAGACACAATGGTGATTTCCTACAGGACCCAGTGATGCAGACATTGTTCTGTTGGCTTTGGCTACAGGCTTTGCTTTCTTTGCCACTACTTTTGCCATGGAAGTTGGAGGAGTTTATTTTGATCAGCTGGATTTGTTGAGTCAGCTTAATGGAATAATGTCATTCGTGTATGTATGTATGTATGCATGTGTATGTTGTTTTTTTTTGCCAAAACCAGTCACACTTATTGATATTGAATATTATATTTTTTAACTGGAAATGATGTGCTGAATTCACATGTCTGACAGTATGAAGCTGTGGAAATTCAGAGCGAGCCATATTTGCAGTTTAATTTCAGTAAAAGTCTTTTTGGACTGAAGTAATTAGCTGTCTAAAATTGCTGTATGTGTTCATAGTATCAAGCTCTTTTTTACCAAAAATAATCATACCTTTAAGCACCATAATTCTGTTTTAATGTTATGTCAGATAAAATGTTCTATTATATTTATACTTTTGGCATTGCAGTAATCTTAATGAGTATCATTTAATATGGACTTCAGAAGTATCTTATCTCAAAGGGTGTATTTTTTTATTTAATTTTTTTCTTGGACTGAACTTTCATCCTTTGGGTGATGGGAAACATTCCTGCTTTGACATC